ACCTCAGTCCCAGACTCCCCCTCTTTCATATTCTAAAACATTTCCCTCCCACTGGCCACGACTGAGAGGGAGCATTCGCCTCCAGGGCTGCTTCTGGTAAGGAAAGAAAGCTGCTCTGGCTCAGTGTGGGCCCGAGAGTGGCTGTGGGATGGATTTCCTGGGTACAGGGCAGGAGATCCACTTCATGGGCTAAAGAAGATGGCCTCTGTGCATGACCACACTAGGACTTCAGAATTGACCATAAAAGGCAAAGTTTATGGCTTGGCATTTAAATTATTTAGGGGATCTCTAGAAACCAGATAAAAACAAGAGTTCCAAAATCAAGATGCAGAAGTTCAAAGGGCCTAAGACATCAGTTTGTCAACGATCCTTAACTGGCTCTGATTTTGCAAAGGCTCCTTCCAGATCCTCAAGGCCTGACTAAAGTAAGACAGGCCTTTGGCTCCTTCAGCCCTCTTCCCTTCTCAGAATGTGGGTGTGAATCAGGCTGTAGCACGGGAGAGCACTGCTACAGGACGAAACCAGCAAGTTAGCAGAATTTTCCCAGCCAGTGCTTTCATTTCCACATTTTCAGAAATCCCGTGTAAGATTCAGATTTCCTGCTGCTCGCAGCCTTTGTTTTCCTGATCTGCTTGGATGTCTATCTTGGAGAGCCATAAAAGAATCTGTACTTTGTGATTTCATTTATACCTGATGGGCTGAAATGACAGGAAGCAGATCAGTGAGGCCAGGAGTGGCAGAGGCCAGGGAGGTGACCGCGAAGGGGCACTAGAGAAGTTTTAGGGGGATGGGACCGTTCCATATCATGACAGAGGCCTGGGTCACATGGGCGAACACACCTGGCAGAACTTTTAAACCCTACCCTCAAGATTATGTAAATTATACCTCAGTACTAGTTGATAACAATTTCAAAAAAGGTTACTAGCTCCTGTGGGAGTTACTTAAATACTTGGTGCCTCAGCTTGCCCAGATGCAGGGTGGAGACGCGATAGCCCTCCATGAAGCGGCTGCGGGGATTGAGTGAATGAAGCCACAGAGGTCCTTAAAGCTGTGTGTGTTTCGGGGAGAGCTCTGCATCCCTCTAGCCTTGATTTCCATTTACAAGCCAGGCCCCCATCCCTCTGCGTTATTCCTGGGAGGTCATTTATCCTCATTTATACGACTTTTCCTTTTTGAGTCCATCCCAATGCTGATCCACATTTCCTCTTGGATGAACCCATCAGGCCTCCAGGCCCCAAGTCTCTCCCCCTCTGTAATGACTTGGATCCACTGACATTAACATTACTGCTACTATCTAAAAATAAACCYTGTCCCTGTCACACTTGACCAGTGGTTCCCAAACCCAGCCCTTGAACTAGTACCCAGCTGGGTCAATCAGAACTTGTTTGGTAAGCTTGAAATGGTGTACACCCTCTGTCCTTCTTTCTTTCTTTTTTCTTGTTTTCCTGTATTACATTTTTAGATTGAAGCATCATATAAATGGAGTAAAGTGCAAAAATCCTAAGTGTACAATTGGATCAATTTTGACAAGTGCCGATGCCTGTGTTACCCGGCTGTAACCAAGACAGAGAACATTTCCTCACCTCCAGAAATTTCCTTCATGCCTAGTGTCATGTTGGTAAAAATTTAACACTGGCTCCCTGGGGAAATGCTTGGACTGATAGCGTCTGTTATCTCCTTGGTATAGACATTCCTATCACAGTCATCTAGAACTGTCAGGGTGATGTCCCTAAAAGCAGAGTTGGGCAGAGAGGCTCACAATGAGTCAGTGATGAAACAGGATAAGCAGCTTCAGCACTGTACCCCATGCCCCAGCCAAGCCCACCCCTGCATCCCATTCCCAGCCCCAGTCAACCGCTGTTTTTTGTCACCTGAAAATAGTTTTGCTTGCTCTAGAATGTCATATGAATGGAATGATATAATACATATAGTTGTCTCTTGGTATTCACAGGGAATTTGTTCTAGGACCTCCCCCCACACCAAAATCTTCCGATGCTCAAGGTCTTCTATAAAATGACATAGTATTTGCATAGAACCTATACATATACTTCTATATACTTAAATAGCCTCTGGATTACTTAAAATACCTTATACAATGTAATGCTATGTAAATAGACATTATATTGTATCGACAAGAAAAATGGTTTGTAGCTGTTCAGTACAGGTGTACATTTTTTGAATATTTTCCATCTGAAGTTGGTGGAATCCGTGTATATTGAAAGCTGTGTGTACAAAGGGCTGACTGTGCTCATTTTGTCTGGTTCTTTTGTTCAACATGGTTTTCAGGTTCATTCACATTGTTACATGTATCTGAGTGTTTTCCATTGTAAGGAAACATTATAATTTATTTAGTTTCCTGTTAATAGACACTTGGACTGTCCCTAGTGTTGGGTACTGTTATGAAACAAGCTGCAGTGAACATTCTAGGGGAAGTCTTTGTATTGACATGTTTTTTTCTTTCTCTTGAGTCAATTCCTATTAGTGCAATGACTGGGTTTGTGTATTGGATATTATGTTTGTGTATGTGTGTGTTACTTGGGGCTGAACCTAAGAATGCTCTATCACTGAGCTAGCCCCTTTAAGTTTTTTTTTTTTTTTTTTTGAGGCAGGATCTGGCTAAGTTGCCCAGGTTGGTCTTGAACTTGTGATCCTCCTGTCTCAAGTCTTCAAATGGCTGGGATTACAAGTGTGCGCTGACACACCTGGCTCAAATTTCATCTCTTTCATGGAGTTTTCTAACTTCTTCACCTCTTCTTCTTCGTTTGGTGTGATCATAAGTCCCTTAGAAATGTATGAGACTTGGAGTGTCTTTTTATTTCTGTATTTTTGTTATTGCCCCCATTATATTTGTAGGGTCACTGAGATCAGGGTCATGCTGTGTGTATCTCCTGGCACATTCTTTGATTTGAATCTAACGTTTTTTCAAACATGTTATAGGAAGAGTCACCAAAGTCTTCTAAAAGGAGCTATCCCTTTGGGAGATAAATCAAGAGGGAAACAAACTGGATAGCCTTTTCCCTAGGAAAAAACCACAGCAGCTCACTCCCTGACATTTCTACTACTGAGCAGAAATGGATGAACTGTCTTAGGGCCTCTGAGGCTTGTCACAACAGGACAAAGGAAAGCATGCTGTTGGCAGTCTTGCTTTGGCAAAGAAGCCCTTATCTCTTGCCTAGCTGCCTCCCCAAAAGCCTCTGTTTGTCTTGCCTCACTGGCTAGCTTCTAACCAGTAGCAAGACTGCCAGATCATAATCAGTCATTTTCCCCTGTCCTGAAGTATGAAAGCTACACCATTTTCAGAACTCAGTGCAAAATGAAAATGTAGAGCTTCTGTTAAAAAAAAAAAGTATTAAGAATTTTAAGATGAGAATAGCAGGGCATCAAACCAAGCCCAGGGCCTACTGGACCAACTGCATGGGTCCCTTGCCCTTGAAGCCAGCCTTGATGAAAGGGGACAGAACTGCCGGAAATAGACAAAAAGCAATTAAATAAGGTTGATAAAGAGATAATTTATCTCCAAATTCCTCAGCTTCCTTTCTTAATATAAAGATAACTGAGAAAGAAATCACCTCATTTTCTGTAATATATTGCTGGCAAATTGCCAGCAAACTCTCAAAAGTTATGAGTTGAGTCTTTCAAATGGATGTTGAAGTACTAAGCTCCAGTACCTATGAATGTGATGGTATCTGGAAACCGTCTTTGTAGTGGAGATGAGGGCATTAGGTTGGGCCCTATCCCATATGACTGGAATCCTTATAAAAGGGGACACTTTGGACACAGAGACAGATATGGGTAGTGGGAACATGATGTGAAGACACACAGAGAGATTGCCATTACAGGAAGGAGTAATACACTAGGAGCCAAAGAGCTCCAAGGATTGCCAGCCAACCACCAGAAGATAGGAGGTGGCTGGGAACAGATTCTCCCTACAGCTCTCTGAAGGAACCAACCCTGCCAAGACCTCCATCTCAGACTTGCAGCTTCCAGAACTGTGAGACAATCTATTTCTGTTGCTTAAGCCACCAGGTTTGTGCTACTTCATGATGGCAGTCACAGCAGACTAACCCGGGCCCCCAACCAGAGCAGGCGTCTTTTGCCTTGGACAAGCTCTTGCCACCCCTGGAAAAACAGCATTGGCATAGCATGTGCCAAGATCATAGGACGAGGATGGGACCAGGGCAATGTCACTTTTGTTTTCCAAGTCTCCTTCCTACAGAGGGAGGGAGGAAATGCCTCTGTGGGCCTTGGTGGCCACAGTTCAGCAATCCAGATGCTGCCCTCCTGGACTCTGTCCCAACTCAAAGCACTGGCTGATGCCTAGAAACGGCCGCCCCTAGCGAGTACGTGTGACTTGGCCCTGTGGCCGGCTTGTCCACACCTGAGGGTGCAGCGTGCAAGTCTCAGCCGGGGCGGGGGAAACTGGCCGCAGGTGCCTCACGCCCCTCAGCCCGGGAACTCCGGGTCTGCTCCCTTCCAGGCCCTTCTAAGGCTAAGGAGCCTCGGCGCCCTCCGGACGGGCTCGCACGGGGCCCACTCAGCCCGGAGGTTCTTCGAGCCGAGCCGCTCGGAATGGGGAGGTTTCCCGGGTGGAGCGGCGGTGGGGCCGCGGGGTGCGGCGGGGAGGAAGCGGGCCCGGCGCTGGGGTCAGTAGGGCGGGGGAGCAGCTTTGTGAGGAAACAATTTGCAGAGGCTGCCAAACTGGGGCCGGCCTGGGTGACCCTGGCTCGGGGGCCTCACGCACCCCAGCTGGGAAGTCCCGTTTCGTCAGGGCCGAGTCCCAGCTCGCGTTACCGCGCAGCCAAACATGGCCACCGAACCCCGGCTCCCGGGCCGCAGCCGCGACTCGGAATGACGCAACGGCCGCAGGTTGCATCACCCGGCGCCTACGTGCTCCGCCCGCCCCTCGGCCGCCCGGATTCGGACGCTGATTGGGCCACGTTGGGCGGTAACCTCTGCCTCAGCCAATGGACAGCAGCCACAGAGAGGTCCGTCCTCAGAGCCTGGGCGCGGGGCGCCTATAAAAGGTGCCCGAGGCTGGGGCGCGAGCCCTGGAGAAGCGAACCGTCGTTGCGGAGTCTTAGGCGGTGGCGACGCCGCCTGCTTGGCATCTCGGACCGCAGCCGAGTCTACAGCGTCGCCGACATGGAGCCCGAGCCGGAGCCCGAGCCTGTCACGCTCCTGGTGAAGAGCCCCAACCAGCGCCACCGCGACTTGGAGCTGAGCGGCGACCGCAGCTGGAGCGTGGGCCACCTCAAGGCCCACCTGAGTCGTGTCTACCCCGAGCGCCCGGTGAGAGCAGCCCCTGGGGATGCCACGTCTGCCTTCCACTTCCGGTAGCCTGTCCCTTTGCTGGCGGGTACTCGCCTGGTCACCCACCGCAGGGCTGTGGTCACCTCTCTTCCTGCCCTGCCGCCCTAGGCGCCCCCACTTCTTACCCAGTGGCTGTCATCTCCTCGTTCCTGGCCGCCAACAGCCCACTTTCCTGACGGGTTGCCTACTCCTGTCACTTCGCCTCTCCAGGTCCCCAAGGCTGTCCCTGTCCTGCCCCACCTCCCAGACCCCTTCCTCATTCTCCACGCGTGGTTTCCGGCTTTAACCAAAATAGGGAAGCAGCAGTGTGACCTTGGGTGAATCATTTCACCCTCCATGCCTCAGTTTCCCCAAAACAACTGGCGACGAGTAGGTGTTCCTAATTAGGCTTGTAGCCAATGGAGAAACGTAAGAAAACCAAACGCTGAAAACGAGTGTTCTCAGTGGGAAGAGGGGAGAACAGCCCTGCCCAACTGGACAGTCAGGGAGAGCGCCAGTCACTGTGTACTTAAGGTCCCACGCCCAGAAGCAAGACGTGGCTCTCCCCTCCCTAGCCACCTTCCCCTGGCTGTTCCCTCCCTGACGCTGAACTCCCGAGTGGAGTGGAGTGGAGTCCTTGCTTAGTCCCAGGGAGGGGCCCTGGCACTTTCTAGCTAAGAGTAATTTAGGAGGGAAACGGAGTTGCCTTGAGTCTACTTTTAAGACTCTGGTCCTTCAATTAGAGAGACTTCCTTGCTTTGTTTTGGTGGACACAGTTGTCAACAGCACCCTTAGCACCGCCCTCCCTCCCTCCTCACCACGTGATGAGGCTGTGCTCTGGACCTTCCTGTATTTACTTTGTACTCTGATATTATGTAAGTGTCAGCAGTGTTCTTTGCAGCCCAAGAGTGTAATTCTTGGTTAAACAGGAAAGGGCATCTGGGTGGCAAAAGGTGGGGAAATTGTCATCTGAAGACTGCCAACCTGTGTAGTGCATGTGTCAGTTTGGTTTTGCTTCTTATTGTCAAGAATTGTAGACATGAGTATTCCTTCTGAGTTGTTACTTTGAAGTTTCCTTATTTATTCAGTAGGCTTCTATTCTGGTGTCCTTTAGGATTCACCTTGGCACTCTGATTTCACCATAGGTGTTTTCTAGAAACTAGGTGGCCTTGTTGCTGGGAGAATGACTGTTGGGTACACAAATAGGCACAGCAGGTGTAGTGTAGTTGCATCATTTGTAAAAGGCCCCATTTTGAGAAGTGTTTTCCTTGGTGGCCTCAACATTACTCCTATATGTTGAGTCCAAGATTGTAAATGAAAGGTCTCTCAGATATGCAAATCTGCATTTAAAATTGTTATAGTGGAAGTGTACTCATCATTTATTTTCTATAGTATAAAATAGCGTATCCTTTATAATAGTTGTTTGCTTAAGACTCCCCCCTACCAAATCAACCCTCTGGGTAAGGACATAATGCCAGTTCAGGTCTTTAGAAGAGAGGAAACACTTCAAATCCACAGGCAGCTGTGGTTTTCAAACCTTTTCTGGTTGTTGGCCCACATTTACAAAAGTATTTTGCAGTTCATGTGAATAGCACTCACCTGTTAAGTCAGTGAGACCAATAATGAACACAGCCATTTTGTTGTTTTAGGTAAAGTGTCAGAAGTCCTAATGTATGTTGATAAGTAGATACAAATTTTCTGTTTTGTTTTAAACAGCTAACTTTAATGTCTTGGGTTTCTTGGCCAGAATAGCTTTATTCCATGTTTTACGTAATTGGTTATTCTGGCAAGAGCAGGTTGACAAGAGCAGGTGACCTCCAATGTAATGACTTTGATATACCTTACTTGAGGCTATTACTTTAAAGTTAAGTTTAAAATGAGTTTAAAATAGATTTTAAGGGCTGGGGTTGTGGCTCAGTGGGGGATTGCTTACTTAGCATGCGTGAGGCACTGGGTTTGATCCTCAGCCCACATAAAAATAAATAAATAAAATAAAGGTATTATGTCCATCTACAACTAAAATTTTTTTTTTAAAAATATACTTTAAAAGTGAGATTTGTGTAAAGTGTGTGGAGTCCCTATAATTGTAAAGTCACTAGTGTGTAGGGAGTAGGAGTTAGAATCTTGCAACAGGTGCCCTTGGATGAGTCAATTTCTCAGACTTTCCTAAAATAGGAATAACAGCTCTGGGAGGGTCGTGGGGTATTTTTTCCTCTTCCTCCCTTCCCACTCATTCCATTCCACTCTTTCTCTAACTGGGCCTTGAAAGCATTAGGCAACCCCCTTGCCGCTGCACTCTACCCAGTCCCTAACAGAGTCAGGTGACCCACACATCATTTCTCTGACTGCATTTGTAAGTCAAGAAGCCCTTTGTGGGGCTTAGGTTTAGAATTGCTTCTGTTATTTTGAGGCAGTGCTTAGGTAGTTTTGATGAAGGCTGACCTTGGAAGTCTTGAGTTTTCTCTGAGGCCAAACAAGGTTTTAAAGTTAGTTGCTGTAGGAGCTCCCAAATTACTTTGTGTTTTTAGTGGCAGAGAGCAGTTTCCCCGGGGATTAAAAGATTAAGTATGTTGCCATAGTTTTTATGGATTGGAGATAATTTGCTATCCTAAATTTATTTGCATGTTCTACTATCAGTTTAAAGTTAAGCACGTTCTAGATAAAAATTTTGTATATGAGGTTGTTCAAAAAGTGTTTTCTTGTGATACTGGGAAAAAACACATATTCTGATTATTTGTATGAAACAGTTCCTCCTGTGTTCTGGAACTTGTGGACCCTCAATGCTGACCTATGTTACTCTCTTTCCACCATCAGTGTCCAGAGGACCAGAGGTTAATTTATTCTGGGAAGCTGTTGTTGGATCATCAGTGTCTCAGGGACTTGCTTCCAAAGGTATTTTGTGTCACTTACACATTAACTTTGCAATGTTTTTAAGCACTTAACAAGTTGAATTCAGATCCTGAGGTACCTCTTTATTGCTTTTAGCAGGAAAAACGGCATGTTCTGCATCTGGTATGCAATGTGAAGAGTCCCTCAAAAACACCAGAAACCAGCACAAAGGTATGCTTCTTCCTGATGATAACAATTTGTTTCCTTCAGTTTCTCAAGAAAGGGTTAAAGAAAGTTAGGTAAAATTCGCTTTTATAGCCTTTTTACCAAGTTGTATTTTGCTTCTTCCCTGGGCATAGCAGGAATTAGGAACTTTGTTATTATCAACACAAGTGAGAGTTTGCTCTAGTAGTAGTATAGTGTGCCTTGAGTGCTTGTGGAAATGTAAACTTACGTGTTGTTACACTGCTGGGATGTCATCTATCTACAGCTGCTGTGTACCCAGAAGCCTGAACTAGCAAGGCTCTTGAAAGTGTTTTTTGTTTTTCACATCTAGCTCATAGCAAGTTTCTTCTAAGGAATCATTAATAAAGAGGAAAAAAGTGAATATATTTCCTTTGGAAATTTTATCACGGTTATTTATTTGGATGGGAAAAGGCCACAGTGATGATCTCTAAAGAGCTGTTTGACAGTCAAAAGCATTTATTTTTCATTTCCCAACATTTATTTGAAAATATAGTATAAATCTTCACATTTAGAATGGTGATGCGTTCTAAATGTGTATTACAACTGGACTTCCTAAAAGAGCTGAATATAACAGGAAATTTCTTTCCTTTAGGTTGCTTGTATTTATAAGTTTTGTTGGTCAAATTTAATTTCTAGAATTAGTTAAGTTTAGCACCATAAGATGTACAACATGGTCAGAAAGCTTTCTGACCAGCTTCATTCATTGAACTGAATCTTCATTGGAAGATTTTAGTGAAACTGATGCATATTTACTCAAAGGAAAAAAGTCTGTATTTTTTCTCCAGTATCTTCCTACCTATCTGTAGATACTGGGGCCTTGTGCATGCTAGGCAGGTGGCCTACCACTGAGCCACATCCTAGGCCTACTCTCTGTGTTACCAGCCGCCTAACTCAGGGATCCTACCTGGATCCTTGCTGACTGGATTCAGTTGCCTGCCTGCCCACCTGCCCACATAAGAAATAGGACAAAGATGAAAAAGGAAAAATGGATTTTATGCTTTTGATCGAACTGTGGAGAAGCAGCTAGATTTCTTCTCTTTATGTTCCACAGAAGCTGTTAACATGTATAAACAAAAGCCATGTGTTATACATATGTAAATTTCATAAGCCTTCCTGTGCTAGACCTGTGTGGGGTTAGGGAGCAATGTCCAGTGTCCATTCTTGGTTTCCTTGGTATCCTCAGCCCAGGGTGGGCAGCCCTTTAGCCTTTATTCTGAGTATGAGGAAGTTGTCCTCAATTTCAGAGGGGTCCTTAATTTTAGTCTGCTTCACCTCTAAAAATTGTGTTGAACAAGTTTCAGAATATTTTTCACATATCATTGGCTTTTATTTAATTTGGTCAAGTTCAGAGGTGGAGAATGGGACATGTACCATTCACAACAAAATAATTCTTTCATCTAGATTTCACAGAGTTGCATCAGGTTCTTTGTTCTTGTGTTCATCTTGTACTTAGGTTGCTGGATCCTCAGAGCAGCCCAATGCTTCTAATCAGGGACAGTATCTTGGGGATTCCTCAAGTGATGGCTTAAGGCAAAGGGAAGTTCTTCGGAACCTTTCTCCCTCTGGGTGGGAGAATATCTCAAGGTAAGTGTTAATAAAGAGCCAGGTTTGCACAACATAAATGTATGTCTCTCGTTTGCATCAATTTAAGAATAAAGTGTGATTACATATGTGTAGTCAAGAGAACTTTTAAGATGTGTATAAAATTTTGCTTTGTAAAGGTTGTCACTTTAAAGATCTCTTGCTGTATTTGGTTTTTCTTAATATGCAGCCTTATAGGGACATATAAAAAAGTAGGAGATTCATGTACTGAGTGTGCAGGCATTTAGCTTCCCACTGAGTGTGCTTCCCATTATTTTGACCACTTGGGTTGCCCTCATGGTGGGAAATTAGAGCTGTTGCAGAAGACAGTTTTTCTAAGCATCGTGCACTGCTTTGCTGAGTGGGTTTGTGCTTTTTTTCTATCATAACAGAGACAAAAAGTGAAGAGACTAAGAAGTGCTTTGCCAAGAGCTGTGTTGGAGGTGCCAGGGAAAAAGGCCATTTCTTTAGGGCAGTTAGAGCTTTTCTTTAGAGCAAAGCCAGAAGTGATTACATGCTCTAATGTTTGGACTTTATAACTCTTGGAACACCTTATTATAAAAGTCATTTTCAGAAAAAATAGTCTGCTAACTACAAGTGAAATTTTGTAACTCTAACCCTGTGCTTCTTTTCCTAGTACTTTTTATATTTAATTCTTGAAAAAGCCAGGTGTTTGAGGAAGAGTACTTTTTTCCTTAATGGAAGTTTCAAATGCAAAAATAGTAACAATTATATAATGAATCCTTACCCCCACCATCCAGTCCCAATAATGATTAGAGTTTTGCCATTTTCTCTCTCCCATACTTCAGAATATAACTGTAAAAACTTTGTAGTTATCTTGCATAGCAATGACATCATTATCAGATTGAACAAACATAAGATTTTATCATCTTTTTTCCATGCACTGTAACTTTTTAGGTGATCAAAAACAGTATTATACCAAGACTTGTATTGGAATACTATTAGAAATACTCTGGATCTGGAATTTGTTTAAAAAAGACTGTCCGCATATACATTGGATAATTGGACACATTATTGGATTAAAAAAACAACAACCTTAAAACTGTTTCCTTTATTCTGGTTGTACAACTTGAGAATTGGCTTGTATCTGACTACTTGAATTTCACCATGTTTAAATGTGTTGATTTCATTTAGCAAATATTTGTTGAACAGCTAGTGCATTAAAATTTTGCTTGATGACATCAGCTGACCTGCAGGAATGAAACATAACTGGTCATTTTCCCACAATTTATGCTAATTTCAATTTTGTGAATTGCTGCCAAAAGAGTTCACTGTACAAGCACAAAGCCCAAGGTGACTCCCCCAACCCCTGCTGAAAAGCTGTTGCATGGTTGAAGAAGTTTGGGTCAAACAGGATGTCTCAAGTTCAGCCCTGCTTCTTACCTAGCTCAAGATCTTGTACAAATTCCTCATCTTTCCTGAGCTGTACTAGGGCTCCCCTCTAAGATGGGGTGCGGTCCCTCCCCATAGGCCATTGGGGATCCATCAACCTACACAGGACACCAAATGTTCACTACTGTGCAGTAAACAGTGCCACCTGCACATATAACTGCTCCAGGATAGATTCAGAGAGAGGAGTGGGAAGAAGTGGCATCGGGAGGAAGGGAGAGATTTTTCCCCCCCCCAGGAATGATTGGGGGAAATGTGGCTTTTGAGCTGCTCTCTAAAAGGTGATCAGTGAATGTAGGTCTGCTGTGAGACTCAGTCAAAATGGGGCGGGGTGGGGGGGAGATCTACTTAACCTAAAAAGGTTTAGCTTGTTCGTATGTCTATGTACAAAACAAGAATTCTTGTTTTCCCACGGGATGTGGACCATGATAGGAAGGCTTTCACTCAGTATTCTGTGTGCTTGTGTTACACAGGTGCACCATGCATATAGTCATCTCCAGTGTGACCACTTAAGGCCCATTCTTCTGTCTCTTTGATTTGAATTCCTGATTGTAATTTATTTTTCTTTATTGCAACCAACTCAAAATGAGTGTTTGTTTTCATCTATATTTAGGTCTGAAGCTGTCCAGCAGGCATTCCAAGGCCTGGGACCTGGTTTCTCTGGCTACACAACCTACGGGTGGCTGCAGCTCTCCTGGTTCCAGCAGATCTATGCACGACAGTACTACATGCAATAGTGAGTCTTTCCTGCCTTGCTCAGTGTGACCTTGGTCCCCTGGGAGCTAAGGGAAACCCATCTGTGCTGTAAAGTTTATAATGGAGGATGAGTGTATCTTCCTCAGCCCTGCAGGGTCGTGTTCTTTGTGGTTCTGAGGGTGGAGYAGAGTATGAGCAATAGCTGCTGCCTGATTTGTGTGTTGGTTCAGGGGTGCTTGTGTCTGAGAGTTTAATGCCTTTATTTAGAATGTTACCTCCTTTTAAATTAGCAGTATCTTTAAATTTTTTTGAAAATTTTAATTTGCTAATATTTTAGTGGTCTTGATATTTAATTCCAGATGAAATATACCATGTGGCTTTTCTTAGGAAAGGCATTTATAGATACGACTGTTAGTAAAGAAGTTCTTCACTAAGTTGTAGAGAAACCAAGTGTGTATGTGCCTACTTACAGTTCTTAACAAAGATCCCTAAATAAGTTCATGAGCGCCACAGTCTTCAAAGGACTTTGGTCTCAGCAGTCTCTGCCTCTATTATTTTTATTTTAGTTTAGCTGCCACTGCTGCCTCGGGAGCTTTTGTCCCATCCCCAAGTGCACAAGAGATACCTGTGGTTGCTGCACCTGCTCCAGCCCCTATTCACAACCAGTTTCCAGCGGAAAACCAGCCAGCCAATCCGAATGCAGCTCCTCAAGTGGTTGTTAATCCTGGAGCCAATCAAAATTTGCGGATGAATGCACAAGGTGGCCCTATTGTGGAAGAAGATGATGAGATAAATCGAGATTGGTTGGATTGGACCTATTCAGCAGCCACATTTTCTGTTTTTCTCAGTATCCTCTACTTCTACTCTTCTCTGAGCAGATTCCTCATGGTCATGGGGGCCACCGTTGTCATGTACCTGTAAGCACATGATTTCTGTCTCTCTTTTTTTCTGTACTGCAAATTACACTCTGTTGTGACTGATTCATCAAGTCCATATTTTCTCTTTCAAGCAGTTTCAGTCGTTATTGGAGGAGGTGTATTTAAATAGTAGGTCACTGTGGCACTTTGAATTTAGGGAGTTCACAGCTTGGTTGGCTATTGCTCAGAACACATTAATTATGTGTTAATACAAGAAGAATATTCTTCTCTTGATAAATTACCTTCCAGATCACAGACCACAAAAACATAGCCATACTATGGTATGGAAAAGAAAATTGTATTTATTTTGAATAAGGACATACAGTTCTTTGTATTTATCAAGCTACATCTGCCTTCTAGGATTACGGTTGCAGCCCTGTTAGCACAGCCCTGAAGGGTCAGGGACCTTCACAGGCCTGATGTTTGGCTTAGCTGTGGTCTAGAGCAGTGGTTTCCATTGGGGATAATTTTGTTCCTCCCCCATTCCCAGGGGACATAGTAATGTCTGGAGACATTTTTTGTTGTCATAACTATAAGGGGTGATCCTGCTGGCATCTAGTAGGTAGAGCAAGGGCTGCTGTAAATTTCCTGCAAGGCCCGGGACAGTTCCCATGGCCCATGCAACCCTGTATGTCATTAGCACCTACAGTGAGAGAGAGGTGTTTGTGATTGAAATTGAAAGAAGTTTTTGCTTTATAATTAAAATGGATTTTTATTTGAGTTTTTAAAAATTGAAAAAGGAAACATTTAGAATAATGTAATAGACACTTATAATATCCACATTGTTAATATTTTGTCATGTGTGTTTCAAGACTTGGATTTAATTGGATTTTCCAAATAAAACTTTGAAAAATCATATACTAAAGTGACCTACAATTATAGTCCCTAAAATTATATATTAAAGTGACCAATGTAGGTAATTATAATGCTCTAATATTTACAGCTCTGTGTGTGAGTATATCATCTGTTCAGGTTTTAAATGGAAGGTTTAGTTTATAAACAAGCATCATCTATTAAGTGCACACTGTGTGCCAGCTGCTGTTTTGTTTCTGATGAATAAAACAGCCCCTATTTCACTGACCCATGTGAAACCTCGGGGCCAGTGGCTTTGCAGATTTTCTTGCCATGACCTTCAAGTTGGGGTGCCATCATGATTAAAGGAGCAGAGACTTAGATTATTGAGTAGGTCTCACTGTGATGTTAGCTAAGGTAGACATTTTTATGTGCTTCCTTTGAAGGCATCATGTTGGATGGTTTCCATTTAGACAGAGGCCGGTTCAGAACTTCCCGAATGATGGTCCTCAGGAAGCTGTGAATCAGGACCCCAACAATAACTTACAGGTACGGAGCCTCTGCGGGAGCCCAGCCAGCTGTGCGCGCTGCACCAGGCCCTCCAGTCCTCGGCCTGGAAGTTTCCAGCTCTGTGTGTGGTTCACCATTTTATTAGCCTAAGTATTTCATGTTGTTGGGGTTTTTTTTGTTTTTGTTTTTAATCAAATTTATTCTTAGAATAGTAGCGGGGTTTTGTTGAATATGCCTTAAAATCCATTTGGCATTTTTCTTATGTGGAAAGTGGCTTTTTTTTTTTTTTTTAATGTAAGCAGTATTTTTCTAGACCCACATTTTGAAATTCAGGGGTCTATAGCTATTGTAGGATGGACATTGTTAATGGATGATGGGCATAAGCACATCTCATAGAGTAGACTTTCTGAAAATAGAATTTTTTAAAGGTGGATTAATGCATGACCCTTCAGGGTATACTTTAGTAAGAAAACTCTGCTTTCAGAACTCTGAGTTTCCATTGTGGGTTTCTAAACTCGGAGCATTGCCCAAAGTAGAATATCTATATTTAATGAAGTGGTTAATTGCTACTTTAATAATAGTTGAAGATCAGGTTGCTTCATTTGCTGTGACACATGCTGCCAGGAATATTCAAAACCATGAAAGGTCATCAGCACAGTTGTGTCATGGAAGCCTGGAAGAGCCTCGGGCAGCTGAGGATGTCATTCTGGGGGTCTGGCCCTTTCTAGCCTCCATGTTGCTCTGCTGTCTCCTAACTTACTGGTGTTCATCTTGACCCCAGTGTTTTTCTTCTTGTGCTTCTTGACCTGTAGGAAGGCGCAGATCCTGAAACAGAAGACCCCAGCCTCCTCCCTCCAGACCGGGATATGCCCGATGCTCAGCAGACCAGCCCTTCATTCATGAGCACGGCCTGGCTTGTCTTCAAGACTTTCTTTGCCTCTCTTCTTCCAGAAGGCCCTCCAGCCATAGCAAACTGATGGGGCTTGTGCTCCGCAGCCAGAGGCATTGACAGGCCTGGACTGGATCAGCTGATCCAGCTGGACGTCCTCACCTGGACACGACATGACACAGTCATTAAAAACCCACAAGGACAACGATAGGCTTTTGCGCTGAAGCAAAAGCAAAAGCAAAAGCAGAAATAAGACATGAAGCCATGATACAATTCGATGAACAAAAAAAATGCCCAGGGCTTCTCATGTCTTTATTCTGAAGAGCTTTAATATATTCTGTATGTAGTTTAATAGGCATTGTAAGTAGAAGGCATTAGGTGTCGCATGTTTATGCCTGAGGAACTTTCCCAGATGTGTGTGTCTGCATGTGTGTTTGTACATAGAATTCATAGATGCAGAAATGGTTCTGCTGGTACGATTTGATTCCTGTTGGAATGTTTAAATTACACTAAGTGTACTACTTTATATAATCAATGAAATTGCTAGACATGTTAGCAGGACTTTTCTAGGAAAGATGTATGTATAATTGCTTTTTAAAATGCAGTGCTTTACTTTAAACCATGGGGAACTTTGCAGAGGTGGGAACCTTTGCTGGGTTTTCTGTTCAATAAAGTTTTACTATGAATGGCGGTGGCGGAGACTCCTGTTATCCTCGCAGTTTACCCTGTGTCCATTGTGGTTGGATGGCCAACAGTTGAAGTGCTGATTTTTAAGTAGCCTGAAAAACTTAGTTTTAATTTACCAAGACTATACCAGTATCTGCCTCCATTTCCCAATTTGAACATTACTAGGAACCCACCAAGGTTAAATTCCCACAATTTAAAATCAGTGTCTTCCACTGTGGCAATTCTGTAGTCGTAGTTTCACTTCAAATGGCAGCTTTTGTAAGCTGACCTTTTATGATTTTAATCCTTTATTAATTTGTGACTAATTAATCTCAAAAGCACAGTTCTAAGTATTCCCACAGGGGTAATGTTTCAGGTAGAATGCTAAAGCCCCAGTCATGTTCTTTTGGGCAAAGTCGGTCGGTCTTTGGTATGGTCATGATCACTGAATCTTTACTGGGAATATCATATGCATCAAATAGACACCCCCTAAACAACCCATAGCAAGATGCTAGCGGACACAAAGATATTGTATGTATGGTTGTGCTTGCAAGGGCCAACTAAATTATGTAGAGTTAAGTGGCAAAAAGTTTAAAATCGCAGGGTGCCCTGGGAATAGGAGCTATGAGAACGTGGTGGTGATATTGAGAACTTATACAAGATGATATTTGCTTGAAGGAAGCAAAAGGCTCGAGACTGGAGTTTTTATTTAAGGAGGTTTATAGGTGAGGGAGTGGTGTGAGATGAGGGCAGCGTTTGCTGAGCACGAGAGAAAAGAGAAAAGTCACAGCAAGCCCGAAGGGCAGCTGTGGGACTTGCCCATCTTGCCAACACCTGATTGGGACATGCTTGGGAGGTCCTGTATTGTTGGTTGAAAAGGCACTTGTTGAGAATTGGTGAAGTCTTGGGTGGAAAAGCCTGTTGATTTTCAGAGGCAAAGCAATCACCATTTGGCAAATGGCCTGAGGCCCTCAAGGAACTGGAGCCCATCCCCTGTTTCTGTGGGAGCCTCTTGTGGTATCTGGGGGCTGAACTCTGCATTCCACAGCCCCCGGATCAGCAGTGCCAGCCAGCTTCCTACAGCCTTAGTGTGAGTAAAATGTTCTAAGGCATCAAATATGTGGTCACATCATACTGTGGTCTACTGGTGTCCTCAACTCCTGGAAAGAGTCACCAGTGCTGTTACATCTACAGAACCAATTTTGAAACCCCAGACTAATTCAGAATGCTCAAGATTCTGTTCCTCTAGGACTACTCTTGGCACTAAATCTCTTATCAACCACAGTTCTAGAGAAAGCATTAGTTCCTCAGAATCCGTGAGACACGTGTTTTAAGACCTAGTAGGCTGGGCATGGTGGCACATACCTGTAATCCCAGCTACTTAAGGCTGAGGTAGGAGGATCAGAAGTTCAAGGCTAGCCTCAGCAACTTAGACTGCCTAAAAATAAAAAGGACTGAGACTATAGTTCAGTGGTAGAGTGCCTGTACTAGACCCTGGCTCAATCCCCAATAACACACACAGTTGCCCAGTAGTACCAAAGCAATATGAACCCAAATAGCTACTAGGTGACTAATGGGAAAGTAGTTGACAAAAGGGTGATTCATATCCCACTGAGATGATGTGAGTTTTCATCATGCTACTCAGATGGGTATGCAATTTTCAAAAACTTTTTAGAATATGTATTTTTTTAGTTGTAGGTGGACACAATACCTTTATTTTGTTTATATGTGGTACTGAGGATCAAACCCAGTTCTTCACACATGCCAGGAGAGTGCCCTACTTCTGAGCCATAGGCTCAGCCCTGTAATTTTTATTTCTAGAATTTCCCATATATCATGTTTGGACTATGATTGGCTATAGATACCTGGAAGCTAGTGGTAAGGTGAAACTACTAGACTTTTATTTTTTATTGATTACGTGATCAATCATGGGGGCTAGGTAGGCAAATCTGAAATCATAATCCGGTGCACAGGAGCTAGGGATACAGTCCCTAGGTCTAATTTCTTCCTCAAAGAAACCTCGATCTTGCTTTTAAGGTCTTTAAAATGAGAAAAGAATGATCCTAGGGCTTCAAATTACCAGCTTGAGTCTGCATAAATTATCTGAAAGCTCCTGTGTCTGCCCTGAAAKAAACCCTTTAGCTTCGGCAGTGGGATTTCTGAAAACCAAGCTCACAGTCTCATCTTGGAAGTGACTGAATTACAAAGCAAATTGAATCCCCAACCTTGCAAAGAATAATAAGGACAATAATAATAAGGATAATAAGAATGTGGGATAATTGTGGAAGGAACATAAAGTTGGTTCAGGTGGAATTTATTGATAAGGGCTCACTAAGTAGAGATCCCGGGTTCAATGCTTTTGGCATGAGGGGTTAAGAAGGCTCTAACAGCCTGGTTGGCTGATCCTAGGACCAAAAACTGGACTCTGCTGAATGAAGTTGAAATCCCAGAACTACCTTGGTCAAAAATCACAATGGGAATTTCTGCCACTGAACTGGTATATCTAAATACAGTGGGAATGACTGCAGTCCAGAAGGGCAGGGACCTGATGGCAGCCCTTGGTAACCAAAGGCCAGGTAGGTGTGGTTATCCTATTAAAAGTAGAGTCGAGACAGTAATCCATATAATTCAACCTGCAGAGACCTGTGGCAGTGGCTGGTTGGTTCACACGGTGACTCTGGGAAAGGGAGAAATGGACAGTCTACTAATTCTTACTGCATCCATCTAGTAGAAAATTCTAGATCAAGTGAACAAAGTTGAACCTGAATCATAAAACCAGTCATAGCCCCTCAATCAATTCCCAGGCTTAAACCAGTCTAGACCCAGAACCCCTCAAGTGAGGGAGTCTGGTCCCCTTGAGGAAGGACCCTGCAGCTTTTTACCAGGGTGAATCCACTTTGGCAAAAAGGAAGCAATTGTAATGTGGGGGAATTACTGGGCACAGGCTTTAAATTGGCACTAATTCTAGGAGCTCCTAGAAACATCACTGGCCCACCAGCTGCAGAGGCAGGGGGGTGCTCTCTGGAGCCTCAGGCTGGCCCCATAAGTGAAGCACAGCGTGGGTTTGGAACAAAGCCCACCCTCCTCTACACATCACTACTCCCATTTTGAGAAAAGTCACTTACCTCACCTTAGCAGAGAAGGAACTCTTCACCATGAGCCACCAAGTTACCATGATCAGAGCTGCCTCTCATGAACTTGGGTGATGTGAGAGCCACCAAGCCAAGAAGTTGGCACGCGCAGCGGCACTCCGTCATCACAAGTGGGATGAATATATGTAATCAGGCCCTGGAGACACAAGTAAGACACAAGAAGTGGCCCAAATGCCCGTGGTCCCCACTCCCGACACACTTCCTTCTCTTTCCCAGTCGGTACTGTACCTATGGCCTCGTTGGGGAGTTCTCTATGATGAGTTGACAGAAAAGAGAAGACTCGGGCCTGGTTCTGCATGAGATGTGGGCACCACCTAAAATGGGGCACCTGTAGCACCATAGCCCCTTTCCAGGCCTCCCCTAGGTTAGATGACACCATGTGACAAAGACCTGAGAAAAACAACTAAAAGAAGGAATGATTCATTTTGGCCCACAGTGTCAGAGGTTTCAGTTCATGGTCAGCTGGTTCCTTTGTTTTCAGGACTGAGGTGAGGCAGACACATCATGGTGAAGGAAAGTGTCACCTCATGGCCACCAGGAAGCAGACAGCGAGCATGGCTGGGGATGAGACAGACCCTGTGGCCAGTGACTTGGCTAATTGGTCAGGGACTTGGAAGGAAAACGACTGAGAAACTGGAGGCAAGAGGTCTGGGAAAGACATATATAGTTATACCTTTCTGAACAGGTTAAGAGCATGAAGATAATTGTGTCCCATGTAAATTCTCACTAAAGGGTGACCTCAGCAGAAGGGGATTTTAATAATCTAGTGGATGGGATGACCTGTTTGTGGAGACCAGTCGGACTCTTTCCCTCGACACTCCTGTCATTGCCCAACAGRCTCATGAGCGAGGTGGCCATAGAGGCAGGGATGGAGGTGGTGCATGGACTTCTGCTCAGCAAGGCCGACCTGGCTACAGCCAATCTGCCGGTAGCCGAGATGGACGCTAAGTCCCCCATCTAGCCCATCTCCAGGGTGCTCAGCTGGCTACTTGGTGGCAGGTTCAGTAGATCTCTTCCATGGTAGAAGGGTCAGCACTTTCTTTTTGCTCTAGACATGGATTTGCCTTCCCCGCCTGCAGGGCTCTGCATGGGTTGACGTGGCCAGTGCCTTACCCACCATCATGTACTCCCCACAGCACTCCTGATCAAGGGACTTACTCCACAGCAAATGAAGTGTGACAATGAGCCCGTGCATGTGGAACTGACTGGCTTGTCATCCTCCCGTTGTACTGGATTGAATGGTGTCCACCAAAACGTATGCTCTCCTGGAGCCTGTGAATGGGACCCTAGTTGAAAATAGGGTGTTTGCAGGGATAATCAGGTTGAGACGAGGTCACACTGGACAGGCTTCCAAGAAGAGGGACGTCTGCACCCAGGTACAGGGGAAGATAACCCTGGGAAGACGGAGACGGAGGCTGGGCTCCTGCAGCCAGTCATCAGAGAGCAGGAGAGGCGAGGAAGGCCCTCTCCCAGAGACCTCAGAAGGGGCACGGCCCTGAGGACACCTGATTTCAACTTCCAGCTCCTAGAACTTGAGAAAGCAGGTCTGTGTCGTTTCAAGCCACCCACTTTGTGATAATTTGCTACAGAAGCCCGAAGGAACTGATAGGCTCAGTCCTCAAACAGCTGGCTTCCTACGCCAGCAGAATGACCTTTTGTAGACTCTGTGACAGTGCCAGCCACGTGGCAGGCCTGGGACAATGTCTCACAGCAGACTGTGGAGGACACATTAGACTCTAAACCGGAGTCTAACATAGGGCACGGTTCCTGCCATGGCCAGGATCTGCCCTGTAGCCCTCTGGCAAAACGGTGGCTTCCCCCATCCATGGCTGCCTGTCCTGCGGGCCCAGAGGTCTCGCTTCCTGTGGAG